TAATTACATTTTGAAAAAAATAAATAAATAAATAACAGCTGTCGTAATATAAGGCAACTGAAATGGTTTTGACCACACTTTGACCTGCTATTCTGAAAAAAGGTTAATCTTTTTATATATATATAGATATAGATTTGAATTTATATGGTTTTTTTCTTTTGTTTTTGGTACATAAAATAGTGATATTGGATCAAATTTGTTACATAAAAAAATTGATCATTATATTTATTACCAACATACAAATTTAACTAAACGATTTTGTTTTCTCAGTAGCAAAAAAATAAAAAACAAAAAATAAATAAAATAACACTAATCAATAATACCTGCTCAAAGTTTATGACACATACCATTTTTTAATTTTTTTTTTATTTTTTTGGACTCAATTAATTTGGTCTAATAAAAGAACAAATGTGTTTTATAACCAAATTATCAATAATTCTGAAAAGTCTAACTAATATATAAAACACCTGATTTCAGGTTTGTTAGAATCCCACAATATATGAATAAACTGGCAAGAGTTCCATGTTTTATAACCGAATGTAAATGTTTAGATTTAAAATTTTTTCAATAAAAAATTAAAACATATTTGGTGGGATTTTTCAGAATTTAAATTTCAGTAAAAACTCAAAACACATTTGGTGGGATTTTTCGAAAATTTTCAAAAAAAAATACTATATTTAGTAATATATTTAGGCGGGATTTTAGGTAATTTTTAGTTACTATTTTCGAATTATTTAGGTTGTCTCTTTATATATTAATAGATGTCAGCCAATTAAGCATGATTATCAGAAGAATTAATATAAGCTAATCAACACCCTATTAAAAGTAGTACGGTCAGTTGTTAATGAGATTGTGAGTTTATATTAAAATAATATTTAAAATAGAATAATTAAAATTGATTAAATTTAAAAGTATGAAATAAATGGTGTTATTAGAACTGGGTCCGGAAAAGAGGGTGCGGTCCCACCAAGTAAAGCCCACCTAGTGATTCTGATTACCTCTTACTAATTTAAAAGTATGAAATAAATGATGTTATTAGAACTGGGTCCGGGGAAGAGGGTAAGCGTGATTCTTATATTAATATTGTAGCTACTTACTATTTACCTCTTACTAATTTAGAGATTATGTGAATCAATTAAGCATGATTATGAGAAGAATTAATATAAGTTAATCAACACCCTATTAAAAGTAGTACGATCAGTTGTTAATGAGATTGTGAGTTTATATTAAAATAATATTTAAAATAAAATAATTAAAATTGATTTAATTTAAAAGTAAGAAATAAATGATGTTATTAGAACTGGGTCCGGGGAAGAGGGTGCGGTCCCACCAAGTGAAGCGCACCTAGTGATTCTGATGTTTTTATCAGTGGGTAAGTCAGTAATGCTCATCTACCCACGGTGGACACATGTTAATATGTCCATCATTTATGTGGCATGTGTAGACATCGAAATTTTAATATTTTATTAATTAATGTCTTTATTTATTTTTGGACATAAATCCAAGATAAATAAGATATTAATTAATAAAGTAATTATTTCTTGCCCACCAAGTCAAATCTTAGGATAAAGGAAAGAGATTATATCAAATCTTAGGACAAGGAAAGAGATTATGTCAAATCATGAAGGACCAATCAAATTGAAGTCTTCTTCTCCAAGACTCTCTCTCCTACACCTATAAATAGGGCTCTTATCAATCCCACAAATCACACCTCAAACACCTCAAACACCTAAAAAATATCAAACACATCTCAAAGATTAAAGTCTCGAATCCAAGGACTCTCAAAAACCCTCTTGAAGATTTTAAGAAGTTCTTGAAGAACCGTCCGAAGTCCATTCAATGAAGAAGAAGGCCAAGAAGAAGAAAAAGAGGCGACGACTCTTCCCCAAGAAGTAAAGAGACGACTTCCACTCCTCTCAAGTCAATCCAAGAATATCAACGACGTTCAAGCGACATTCAAGCCTCGTTCGTTGAGAAGTTCAACCAACATAGCGTTTGATCCGAAAAAAAACTATTAAGCCCTCGAGTCAACGTTATTCAAGTCAAAATCCCCTTTCAAGAAGATCAAAGAATCAAGTCCTCCAAGAAGTCTTCTTCAACCAGGTCAAGGTCTAACATTTAATACGGGAATAAGTCATTCGACCCCCAAATTAATGTTAGAGAAATTCAAGACCAAGCCCGAAGGAGGTTCAATCGTCAAATCCATCTTTCAAGGTCTCAGACCCAAATTAATGAAGAGAAGAATCAGAGGAGATAAATAGAGATTGTACCCGCATATCGTTTGATCGAAATATAAATCAAGTTGTACAAAAGATTTATGTTTTCCATAAAATTTGTTGTTACAGCATGCACTCATTGGTGATGTATTTTGTTTAACATATTAACATCACCAATGTGTGCATGCCACATAAGCGGTGAGCATATTAACATGTGTCCACCGTGGATAAGAGAACATTATTCGTGGGTAAGTTGGGTAAAAACAAATTAAGCAGTAATTTGTTACAAAATAAAGTTAGATATAATTAGTTGCAAAGTAAAAACTTTGACCGATTAATGTTTTTTTTTTTTTTTTTTTTT